GCCGATAAAATCAGCAAAATAGTCAACACAAGTCTGAAAACTTTGTAGAAAAAAAGTACAATGACTATTGAATTGATTACGAGTCCTATTAAACATTGAAAATTTGGTGCCGATACAACAGTTACAATGCAATCATTTCTTTAGGTTAATGAATTATGTTGCATGGTAGTTATACATTGCGTTTATACATGGGCAAATGTTTCTAATTTTTTTTACAAGTAATATAATACATTCAAATATAAACAATTACTACTAATTACCTCATATTTGTATTAAATTTTATATTTGTAAAGTCACACTGGCACATCAAGCAATCATAGAAGCATTTAATTAATAGATATTGTTGGAGACTAAATCAAACAATCAATTAATTAATTATTTTATGATTGTACAGCCTATCTTGAAGAATAAAATCATACAAGATCAAAAGAGATATTCGCCTAGATCAGTCAACTGCCGATTCCTTTCTGTGGACCTTCGTCCTTTTACACAATTTTAAATAAAATGAACAACCTGCTTCCCAACGGTAGAACAACCTGCTTCCATGAGTAAAGTAGGATATGCAGGATGCCAGTTTGGTTTCCACTTCCACTTCCACTTCCCCCATCTAATCAACTTGTTTGAGCCTCGTCTGAGAAATCAAGGTTGACTGTTCGAAGAGCATGATCAAATTTAATTGTCTACTTATAAACAAAAATATTAAATAATTTAAATAAAATTTAAAAATTATAACCAAATGTATATTATCTATTAAATAAGTAGATCTCACTAAAAATTTAATAAGATTCACTCATTTAAAAGTTGATATGTATTTGTTTTACGATTTTTTAAGTCCCATCTAAATAAAATAATAAAATTTGACGTACAGTAAATCGAACTTTCTCAGGGCGAAAAGGTCAGGTGTGAGGTTCCATTGGTTTTCGTCCATATGTCAGGGGCTTGGGAAAAGGTGTGTTTTAGGTCATCCGGGATCCCTAATTCGGTCCAAGCCCATATGGCTAAGTCATACTTCATCAGAACATGACTAGTGTCTTCTTTTTTGGCAAAGTGGACATGGCTGGTCTTAGGTAAAAGACAAAAAAAAAAAAAAAGGGAAAGGAAGAGAGGGGCGGCGCCCAGCAGCAGAGAAGAGAGAAAAAAAAAAAAAGAGACAGGTAGAGAGGGGCGACGTCCAACCCAAAAGGCCAAAAAAAAAAAAAAAAAAGAGAAAAGTCAACAAAAGTGGGGCCCAATCAGCCTAAAAGATAAAAAAAAAAAAGAAAGGGAGTTAGTAAAAATAAAAAAAATAATTCTATTCGATACCGATCAATACAGCGGATTCCGAGAAAGATTTCAACTCTCTAATGAAGACGAAACATATGTCCGCGACCCTTTCCTCTCAAAAAGTCAGAGACTTGGGGCATGGGGGGTAAATAATGAGTCCAAAATTAACTAGGCCAAGTCCGGTTAAAATAAGTCGAGAAAGTCTAAAGAAAAGTCCAATAACAGATGAATCGACCAAGGAGATAAGTGAGAGTCCAAAACAGAGACCAAGCTCATCATCAAAGGGGGCGCCGCCCAAGGGCCTCAAGTGGGCGCTATCCATGCCTTGCCCATTCTCCCCTTTTCACTTCACTCCAATGCAAGTTCAAGATCACACTGAGTCCAAGCCCAAAGTCAAGTATGAACTCAATCCAGTTTAAGACCCTCCTCCGAAGAAATAGGAGCACGAGGGAGAAAACATTGGGATAGACACGAAAATCTCTTACCATAGCTGTACTTACTAAAACAATAGAAGTCTTCCTCCTCACGTCACCGCCTTATCATACCTATATAATTTAAGCCCTCTTCATATAGAGGGCAGACTCTCATAACCTTGAGATCCCTACACAGATTGCTCTCTCTCTCTCTCTCTCTCTCTCCAAAACACTATAATATTGGTGACTTCGCTCATTAATAAAAGATCCAGACTACTTTTGTCATTCTTGAGAGTAAAGTAAGTCATTCGGAGCGAACCACTATAAATCTCTGTGTGTTTCTCCTTGTTTAGTGCTTTAATCATTAATTATCATTGATTGTCTGTTATTGCTCACTTTTTGCACCCGTTCGTATACTTGACTATTGATCTTGCGCGAAAATAATTTTGTGTATTATCAATTTAAATATAATTATTTATTTAACTTCTCAAGTAATCAAAAAATTAAAAAAAAAACAAATTATAATTCCGTACATCACACGACCCCAGTTACTAGTATACATACACTGTAGTCAGTTGGATTAAGTAAATGATGAACAACCTGATGAAATAGGTGTATTCTCTCGAAAAGGACAAAAAAAAAAAACATGTACTACACGAAAGTGCAAAACAATTTGTTTAATTTCTATGGTATATTAAAGTTGAAATACTTCGACATTGTTTTATTACGAATAACTATATTTTATTGAACAAAAATTACAAACACACTGTGCACACATAGATATAGGAATTTTTGCTACTTTTCATGGTGTTATATGAATTTTTTCTTTGTTTTAATGGTCATGAATGTTTAGGTCAATTTACGTTCACCTCAACTAATATCCTCTTTAATCTGGTCAAAGACAAACTATCTACGCTGAGACTAAAATAATCATGAAGGATAATTTTCTCATTAGTTGACTCAAAGAGATTGTCAAATTTAAACTTAAAATGTCTCAGTTTATAGCTCATTCTATTAAAATGGTATTATATGTATGTGAGGTAAGGATGTTAGTGGACTGAAGCGGGGGCTGGGAGTGTATTCTTTATTCCCGTATCTGCTTAAAAAATTTCGTCAATCCCCGGTCCACCCCCGTTAACGGGTATAATTTTCATCTCTATCCCCATCTGCGGGTGAATTTCTAATCCCCATCCCTGTCCCCGCTTCCTCTGTACCCGCCTAAGCCCAAACCCAAGCCTAAGTTCAAGTCCAAATAGCATAATTTAAAATTTTAAATAAATCTAATATTTTAAATAATCCAACAATATTCTAAATAATTTAACACAACATAATGTAGATTGCAAAATATAAAAACCAAAATAATATAGTATTCTATTTAAAATGTTATTGGACCATAAAAAGAGAAACGAAACTATTAGAGATAAATGAAGAAAAGAAAAATAAAATTAAACTAAGAAAATGATAACACTATACTTAAAGTTTCCTAGAAATTTTTTTTTATTACAATTCATATTACAGTCATAAAGTGTTAAAAGATAAAAACTTAAAATTTCACTAATTCAATAATTCTCCCCATTTCTTAGTTCACTATAGTAGAGAAACTCATCAACTTCCATTTATAATATTTTCTACTCACAATGAAATGCAAAATTATCTTACTTTCTCTTATCAATTTTTAGAGCATGGTCAATCCAAACTCCTAACGGTTTTAATTAGTGAGTACAAATAGAAAAAAGAACAATCAGGGAAAAAAGTTGATAAGATTACCTTACCACATAGCAATGCCACCTTGTTAGTTTGATTATCATATTTCTAGATTGATAGTTTACAGTAAATATGTTTAATTAGGGCTTGAAAGTATTTTTATTTATATATATACATATTTAACGGGTAGGGAGCGGGACGAGGATAAGGGTAAGTTCATCTCCGCCTTCATCCCTATACGGACTTATACGGGTATCTTCATATACGTCCATCGTCTAATCCGTATAGTTCATTCTCGATTCAAATAAAATAGATTTAGATGAATACTCATTTTTCTTCGATTCACTGTCAACCCTAATGTGAGGTTGGCTATATGTGCCTTTTTTTTTTAATTTTTTTTTGAAAATGTCATATGTCTTGTGCTCGAATTGGAGTTTGCTGGGCCCGTATTATATGGTACCCAAAGCTTTGAAGTGGAATTTGGTAGTGCGATGACTTTGAGGTGAATTGCATAGTCGCGGCTCACGGGATGACTCCTTCCGTCGGGAGTTTTGAAATTCATGATATGTGTTTTTTTGGGTACGGTGGTAATAATAAGCTTAATTGTGTTAGTTTTGATTCAACAACCATACCAAGTGTAGTTTATATAGTTTAAGTTTTCTATTACTTTTGGACCTTTTTTGTAACAATTGGATGTTAATTGAAGTGGAGTTGATTTGGAAGTTAATTTGAATTGCGTGCATTTAGAATTATTAGTTGGATTTGTATTTGCAAATGTATAATTATGTATGTTGTGGTTAAAACTGAACTTCTTATAATTGATTCGAGTTATGTTTTTTAATTACATGTTTTTTTTCTTAATAATAAATAATTTTGTACCAAAAAACTGGCTTTTTAATAGTATGTGTATACAAGTTGATTTTTACTCGAGTTTTGTTTTCAGAAAAGGCTATGCGGATTTTTTTTTTTTTAAGGAAATAGTGGACCCATATTGATTTTAAATTATGTAGTTAATGGAAAAAAATAAAAATAAATTGTTGTTTGAAATATTTATATTAAATGATCAATGCTCAATATTTTTGTATCATACTGTGCTTTCTGACATGAATTATTTTTAGTCATTTGAATTAAATAAATAAATTTTTTCTCTCAAATTAATTGTTTTTAATTACTTGCATAATAAGAATACCCTATGAGTAATGCTACACTGATTAAATTTTGAGACTAAATCAAGAGCCCAAATGATATGGCGGCTGATTTGGACTTCTTTATTTGGTGTCATGTCATTTGAGCTCCAATAAAGATTTTATGCCATGTCATTTGAACTTTTGATTTGGTTCTAAAATTTGATAGCCTAGCATTACTGATAACCTATTCACTACAGCAAAATGTCACAAAAGAGATTCATGACATCCCAATTAAGTGCAAAGAAAATGATGGTCAACCACTCCATGGAATAGCTGTATTCTGGAAAAGGGTAAATTTTACATCAAATACCACATAAAAGTGCAAAGAATAAATTTTATTTAAATGCCATATTTACATTTGAAATAATACTTCAGCATTGTGTTATTACAAGTAGACATACTTTATTGAACATAAATCACACACACACACCCACACCCACACCCACACCCACACACATGTACATATCACTTATTACCAGTAGATACAGGATCAAAGTGGGCTCGCTATTTGCCCCTTGTCAACAAGTTTTTAACCCTCAACAATAGGAATCTCTCTATCTACGTAGTTATCGCTTAAATGAGCTGATACACCGGGAAACAGCCACTGTTTGAAATTCCTCCAGGATCTTTGCAGCCAACGTCCTCTGTTCTCTGGTCCACTTGTGAAGGCATTGATCAAGCTTCTTCCCGCATCCTTTGCATTTTTTAGCTGCCTTTTCATAAATGATAACACCGCGAAGTAGTTTTCCTCTGGGTCTTCATGAACTATCTGTATCATAAACAGCAAATAATCTGCATGAGTACTCAGTCGCAGATCAGGCTTATACATTAATTATACATACTTCTTGATCATCTCCTCAATCTCTTTTGCTACTTTTTAAGATTGCCAGAAAAAATAAGAAAGAAAGAAACAGACTGGCTTAAGTTATTTTATGTATCTAAGAGGACAAAGACGACTCACCTTTTGCTCAAAGTTGGTATCATAAAGGACCATTTTCCCAAAGTGCCTATAGTCCAAGGCTTGAAAGGGCAGCCTAGGAACCAAATCATCATAGTTTACAGCCCTAATATAGTTTATGCTATACTGTTTAAACTTTCCTTTCATGAACTCCACAAACTTCTGGTTTCCGACCATAGGCTGCCCAAATGTGTACACTGCCTCCAACCTCTCCAATATATCCGATTCTTTGTGCAATATCAGCACTGCCGAAAAGAGAATTGCGAGTGCGCCACCCAAACTGTGTCCGGTCAGAATGAATTTCGTTTTAGGATGTGTCCGAAAGAAATCTCTCAGTTTCTGTCGGATGGTGTAGTAAGCAACCGGGTGTTCATCATCTTTTCTGACATTTTTCGGCCATGCTTGACCCTCCTGTAACCCTAAAGCTTTCATAAAACCACCATGGACTTTTCCGTTGCCTTTGCCGAGCTTGCACCAAGAGATATCGATGTCGGTACTCCAGGCATATGCATTGAAGTCGGTGCCTCTGAATGCCACCACGATCATATCATGGTTGGGATTTGGATCATGAAACATGAAGGCTTTTGTTGTTTTCTTCCGTTGATAAACTGCCAAGAGCATAGAATCATCTTACATTAAGCTAGTTAGGCATTGCAAGTTGTTTAAGGATAATTAAGGCTTATAACCTAATTTGCTAAGAGTTTGGATTTATTGTGGGTCTTATTAAATATTTGAACTTGGTATTAATTTAATTGTTCCACTAAAATTATATTTTTAGGTCAGTAAATTAGCTCAAATTTTTACGTCAAAATAATATTACTCTTATTTTTAATGTATCTTATTTTTTAATTACTAGGTTTTTTGTAAGATTTTTTTTTTAAAAAAATCAATCAATTTTTGTTAATGTAAAAACTGATTTTAGTATATAATATATAGCTTCATATTTAGTGTTTACGATTTTCACGTAAATAACATGACAATGGGAAATAAATTAAAAACTATTCTAAAATGACGATAAAGTCCAATAAGGACTGTTGAATGATCAGAAACTCAAATACTCCGGTCTGAATTATATTATGAAAAAAATAGTGTTCTTCCTTACCATTCCAAAAATCTTTCGCGTCCAATAAATTCATCTGAGACGAAAAAACAATTACAATAATTAGAAAATATTCGATAACCTATACAAAATCTCATTTATATCTAGTTTGTATGAGTTCAATATTTGGTCAAATGGAATGTACTTTTGTAATTTGATGATTTTACTGAAATGGGGGCAAAATCTACATTGTATATGATTCTACCTACCTTCCAACGTTTTTCAACTACATATTGTATGATCGGTTTGGTCTCATATGCTAATTTGGAAGCCTTTGGGCATATGACATAAAAATCGTTTCCATCTTCAGGGGGCAGGTCTAAATACTTTCTCTTTTGTAGGGTTTTGATAGTCGACGCATCGATGTTTAATTCTTTCTCCGGGACCTCCATGTTCCCTGCAAACAAGCATTCAGAGTCAATTGTTTACGCTTTCTCGTATAAACAGAGAATTTACAGCAATAAGTTATGGAAGGAATAGCTGCAAAAGACCAAAGCCAGAATTTGTTGCTTTTAGATATGCAATGGTTCCGTCTTTATATAAAGAGAAAATTTATAGCATGATATTATACAAGGTATATATAGTCGGGATGCTGTTGTAGCGGTGACCATACAATTAATTGCTTCCCTCGTTCGTAGAAGGCACAATTCACGTGTAGGTATATCTATAAACCGAATATATAAACTCAATTGTCACAAGTTTGGCGAGCAAAAGAAAAACACTGTTTCAAACTCGGTTCATTTCACAAATGAATGGACTTAAACGAATCCGGAACCGACCCTCAATTAATCAAGTCGTTTTGCAGACCGAAATGCAAACCAATGGTAAGAAAACGGTAAGTTTACTAAAAGCACACCGAGATATTACCGGACATGCCCAATTTTGATCCTAGCCATGATATGAGGCCTGGTGCTACTCTTTGCAGAAACATCTGCCCCGCCAAGGAGAGAAAGATGGGCCCTCTGCGCTCGAGAATGGCCACTGTCGCTTTTGTATCCTTCATAAAGTCTCTGCCTTCTATTGCTTCAGAAAACAAGATGCTCAGGAAGTCTGAAACTGTCGCTTTTTCTGGGTCAAGAAGAAGAAGTTTTTCGTCAAGAAGAAGAAGTTTTTCGCTTAATGGGTCAATTGAAGGCATTTGATCATCGGGAGTCATGATCTAGAAGCAAAGGAAGAAGCTGGCTAGTTGAGATTTTGATATCATACAAACTCAACTATGGCAAACATTTATATAGACATGCATGGTGGTAAGAATATAGCAGCGAAGAAGGTAACGTGCCAGAAGTTAGGTGTAAATTAATAAGGACTAGTTATATTTTATTCAACTAAGTTATAATTAATAAGATTAAGTTCTAACAAAAAAAAGTTAAAATCAATCCTTAAATATTAATATCCACGTGAAATAATTTCATTTTGTTATAGCACTTCATTTGTTTAACCTCTTTTATTTTATATTAATTCAACTCAACTCAATAAAACATTGTTCCAATATTTTTGAGGCCCATTACGTAAATTTTATCTCCCCAATAAGTTTTATTTAAACATTTACTTTCTGTTAAATCATAAGTTCTCATATCCTTATTTATTATTTCACTTAAAATTACTTTTGTTCTTATTCAATCATTTTTCTTACTATTAATAGCTATCTAATCATTATTTTTCTTCGATACCATAATAGGTCATCTATAAATTTGTCCAAATTATTTAGATCAATTTTTTTTTTCAAAATTTACCTCTACTCTTTTATGAATATAATCATTTCTAATTCTATATATATTTTTTTAAATTTTTTATCACATATCCATCTTAATATTTTTATTTTTGTCACACTCAATTTTTAAATGTGATTCTTTTTTAATTTCCTAATACTCATTATCATAAAATAGGAAGGGGTATATTTATGTTTTATATTAAATTTGATATTGAAAAATAATTAATTAGTACGGTTCCACGAGCCATTATTTAGGCATTAAGCTGATTAGCTTTGTTGGATTTGATTATTAATTTTGAAGTTTCGTCAGGAATCGCGTGTCCAAACCAAAAACTCACGAACTCCAGTGGGGTCTCTTTGACATTTTACGGTGTTAAAGAAAAGAATAGTTGTTTCCCACATCTTCAATATACTTCAATTCTTATTCCTTTTTTGTTCACTCCAAGATTTCCTCTTTTAAACGCAACTGTTTTCACATGTTTAATTTTTTATAGTAATATTTTTTGTCAGTTTTATTTTTATTATATCAATTTTGCTTATTTTATCCTTATAATATTCAATTCGTATCACTTTAGTCCTTAATTAAATAATCTGTCAAGTTTTTTAATAGAAGTGATCACGTGTCATTTTTTTAGACGGTATCATATGCCCAACATATAATTATTCCACCAAAAACTTAACGGTCAATCTATATAGGATCAAAAATGACACGAATTAAATACTCTAAACATCAAATTGATATAATGGGGACTAAACTGACGAAAGATGAATATTTTAAAGGTTAAAAATACTAATAACCCTAATATTTTCATTAGGTCGAGTCTTTCGAACTTCAAAGTTAGTGATCGCCAATTTTAAGAGTAGTTTAAGTGGTAATAAGGACGAACCGTAAACTTAAACGTCTTGAGTTCAAAACTTGACAATCTATTGGTACCAGACCATAAAAGATTTATCTCTCATGAATACCCTAGTCCCGACGTGGATGACATATTTTTGACCTAACCGAAAAAAAGATTAGTCGAACTGAATATCCTTGACCAATTGTTAAAAAAAAAAAACAAAGTTAGTGATAGGTTTGATCGAGTATGATAACAAAATAATCCCAAGTTAGCTCAAGTGATAATACGAATGAACTATAAATTTAGATATTCTGAGTTCAAATTGTGTCAACCACTTGAAGTTTGACTATGAGAAATTTATATATTCCTCATGAATACTCTAGTCCTGACGTAGATGACCAACCTTTGACTAGATCGAAAAAGAAATTAGTTGAGATGCACATAAACAATCCCGAACATCTCGAGCTGGTGAGAAAAAAAGAAAAAAAAAAGAAGAAAAGAGAAGTATGATAACAAAATCTAGTTAGTTCTTTTTAGCGTAAGACTTCAGAGATCGCTTCATAAATCTTTTAATTGACGAGCATGATCCTTGCATTAATGATTTTGTCATTATTTATCTCCTAATTTTGGGTTGAAATGTGCCAAAGTTTAGAAAACCAATTAAAATGGATTTGAGGTAAATTTTTTATACTAATGTTTATTTTAAGGGTGAGACTATTTATTCCCCTTAAATCTCTTTTATCACCTCATTAATTATCTTATTTCAAACTACAAAGTTCATCATATCTCACTAATTAAAAACTAAATTTATTCAATTTCATTTCAACTTACTATATAGACAATTTTGTTTCGATGTATTATTTTAGTACGGAAATATTTCAGAAACAGAATAAAAATTAATAATTATTTTTAAAATATTAGTCAAAATATAATAAAATATCTTAAAACACCTCAAAATATTTCAAAGACATTGGTAAAAATATATCAAGATATTTCAAAGTATGTTAAAATAATATAGATCACCTTGAAACATTGAAATTTTAGTTTATTAATATTTTTGTTTTGATTTCTTTCACATATATTTAATAGTTTAATTGAATTGGTATGAACGAGGTGAACTTAATTACTAATAGGGTGAGTATAGATTGGATGAATGTAATAGTTTGAAATAAGAATATTAAATGGGGGTGGAAAAAGAGATTTAAGAATTGAGAATAGTTCCACCCTTATTGTAATTAGGAGTGATAGTTGTCTCGTGTTCATATTTTGCTGGATTTGTGTCAAATATTTAATTTATCATATTAGATTCCTTAATTTTAACCTTGTTTTTTTTTTTTTGGTTTCTTGAGTTGTCACATATAACCTGTACAATAAATTTTCTCTAGGAAAATGTAAAATAGATTTTGACGGTGTAAACCGAATTGTATGAGTAATGAATCGTAATTATGTTTTGCAGTGATGATGTTATGATAATGAAATAAATATTTTTCTAGGGGCTGAGAGGATTAACATAGAAAAAGTATAGTGGTTCACCAACTCGGGAGCTCGGCTAATCCACTCTTTATTGGAGACTCTTGCTCCTTGTCTTTCAATAATGATGATTGCAAGAGTACAATGACTAGTTTTTGTCTCTAGGATCCTCTCCCCTCCTTGAGGGCGTTACATAATATATATATGGCTGTTCCTTATTCAGTGGGATCTTGACCGAAATTCTTTCCCTTATTTCGTGGGGTTTTCCTTAATTCTAGGAGAAGATCCAGGTTGGTTGAGATTAGGTGCCTTGATTATAGCTTCCTAACGCTTTAGGAACCTCTCGTGGTTTTCTAGCCGTTGCCTTGCTTCAAGAGACATTCAGCACTT